AACTCTGTCATTTTTTATTTTTGGCAATTGACAGCTAAAAAAAAAACGATTTTACAACAATTACACTCTTTTGCAGTAAAAAAATCTAAACATTACACTTTTGTGATCTTATTTTTTATTTAAATAAATAATAATTGATACAATATCAAAGACTTTAAATTTGCAATTGCCTCAACATAAAAGTTTTGGGATCATAGGTGTAAATGGGCTCTCGAATAGGGTCAACATTTTCATACTTCAATTGGGCACTATAAGCCATATTCCCAGCATCATCCCTAGTCATATAAACAACCCTTTGCAACAACCCATTGGGATGATAAATATAATAAATTCCTTGTTGAGTAACAGCTGAATTATCTTCAGTCAATTTTTCATTTTCTTTCACTTGGTTTTGTGTCTTTGAATCTTGAACATTTTCCGGGGTGGTGGTGGTGGGCACTTCCGTTGTGGTACTCTCCTGGGGTTCAGTCGTGGTTCGTGGGGGTCCATATTCCTTAGCTGGGGGGCCATATTCTTGTCGGGGCAATTGTTGGCGAAGGGGTAGCGAGAGTGGCGGACCGGAGGGTTTCCACCCCGTGGGTTGGTATGGTGGGTGGTAAATGCGAAAATCGGCGTAGGCAGTGCTTAACACGAGAGCAACAACGAGGAGCTTCATGGTGGTGAAGGAAAATTGAAACTGTGATTTTTGTATTGTCCAAGTTGGTTTTTATAGTTGTTGTGTGGATTGATTATTCATAATTTGCAAGTTTTGGTTGACATTGGCCTGAAATATTATGTATCTTGGCAATGGTTCAATATAAGAATGAGATGTCACGTAAAGGATGAGGTGGGTTCATGAATTACAAATGCGGTTGAAATGCAGAATAATCAATATTGATCAGTGGAAATTAGGTTACAGTTATTATTCCTACAGCTGACTACAAAAAATTACTTTTTTTATTTTTAATTTAACTAATTTAATGTTGTTTTTTTAAATACAATTAAAATTTGAAATTTGATAATTATTTGAAAAAAAAAAGAACCCTAAGTTCCAAAGTCTCTTTCACTGGTTCATATTTCCTGAATTTACCCCAACTTTTAGATTAAAATTCATTATAAATGCATTTACAAAGTTTGTTTGTAATTAAAATTGTAGGGAAACTACTGCCAAATATCTAAACTACCCTAAAATTTAGTTTTTCGAAGAATTTTGCTAAAACAAAAATAGTGCACGTTTTTTTTATTTTTTATTTTTTTTATTTCATTAATTTTGTTAAATTGGATTTTAAAATCATTAAATTTGATCATTAAGTAACATAATTTTGGCTTTTTTGAAAGTTTTTGTGTGTTTCTCAACC